GGCACCATCTAGTTCTTCCCATCTCATGGTAGATGATGTTGGTCCTGTAGATGATTAATCCAGCAGTTTCTCCCATTTGATCAAGGTTATTCTTCAAGGGACTGGCTGATCAGAATGACTAGGTGTTGGCCGCTGGGCACCAGCTAGTTCTTCCCGTCTCATGGTAGATGATGCTGTTGTTCTGCAGCTTATTGATCCTGTAGTCTAGATTTTTCCTCGAGTCTTAAATGTCCTCTTTCTCTTTATGCTAGATAAGCAGAAGCCAGTTGTGTTTTAGATGGCCACTTGTGACTTTTGAAGGCGCCAGACATTACTCATCAGACAGGGATATAGAACATAAACTTTATAAACTATGATGACCAAATTGTCCATCAGGATATTGGTCATGACCTCCAAACCCATAAAAGCAATTCCACGAGGAATGTGCTGATTCTTCAGAAGGGCTGAAGTGTTTGCGTAGACTGGTCAAGGGAGCACACCAAATGGTCCAAGCCTGATTCAACACCTAGCCTTCTTGCTGCTAAAACTCTTTGCCCTGTTCACTAAAATAGTTCTGACATTCTGGAATGTGATCTTTTTCTTCCATTACTCATCTCCCATTCTAGTCCATTTTAATTTACTTTGTGTTCCCCACATCTGACAAATTAACCCAAAGGAAAACTCGATGGGGAATTACCTCCTTCTGATGCTATTCTTGGAAGCCAAAGGAAAAAAGAAATGAATTGGAAAGAGGACGGAATATGCTCTCATACTGCAAAACCTCCTCTCTTTGGGGTCTCTTTTTCCACATTAATAAAGTCTTATCAAAACTCTCGTGAGATTACAGGAAGCACTGGCCTCCTTTCCATTAATAGTTGTTGGTTTTGCCATTTTCATCTAAACACCTTACTCAAAAGTAATTGGATTTCCTCACTACAGAAGAGCTGACATTTTTATGATAATGAAATTGAGTACAGGGCCTCTTTTGACATTAAAGGTGCTTTGCAAATATATTAGGAAAGCCTGGTTTACAACAGTATGTTAAGAGGTAGAACGAGGGTTAATTCCGCAGGAAACATACTGAAATGTTCAGAGAAGGCTAAGCATTGGCCAAAAAGTAAATTCCTGAAACATTCCCGCATTACCTGAAACCAACGTATGTTCCTTACGGGTAGACCCTTGTCTTCAATTTCAGATACATGCCTTCATGTCTGCTATATGTCCAGAAAGCAGCACGGTACTTTCCTGAAATAATAAGAATCCCATAGAACAAAACACACCTGGAATATGCTATTTTTAAATAGAAATTTTCCTTTGTTGTTGCTGATAAGAATGTACAGCAAAACATACACCAACTAACCGGCTTCTACTTTTAGTGGCTGTGTATCTTTTTCAAGGTCTGTAGCAAATCTCATTCTCCTTTTCAGAATTCTTCCTCCCCCATTGACAAACCCATTCATGCTCATGTCAAGTCTGTAAGGTTACCATCTAATATGTGAGGTGTTGTTCTCAATTTGATCCCAAGTGGACAGTTCTTAAAACAACATAATAATCAAGGCAGGTCTGTTTTTACTACTTGAGCTAGACGATAGTTCAAGACTAAAGAGTATAATTTGATGTAAATTCTACCACAGATTACCTCAGGGCAATAGTCTCAGAGGTCCATTCAACTTTTATGGATCCAGAAAGTTTGCAATCTGTGCGAAGCTGAAATACGGGGCTGCCTTTTCCACCTTCGGATCAGGATTCTTCTTGGAATCTTTGAGTAACATGTCGAGGAATTCTAGCCAGGCACCGCCTAGTCCTTCTGTCCGCATGCCAAAGGGGGCAATTGTTCAGGAAGGACGGTTAGTTTCTTTTTGTTTGTTTTTTTTAAGGAGAAGAATACTCATGAGTTAAAGAGAAAGATATCAATATCAGGAGGCACGCCGTGCCTGGCAGCCAGCTTTATTTCACTGGCCACATTACTTGCAGATGCTTGTGTTTCCAATGCCTTAGTGCCCAAGTGGGCTACGGGTTGGGGAGCACCAAAAGGTCAGCAGTTCAAACACCACCAGCCTCCCCAAGGGACCAAGATGAGGTTTTCTGCACCTCAAAAGTTATTGTTCAGGAATCCGCAGGGGAAGTCCTACCCTGTTTTATGGAGCACACACGAGTCCCACTCGACATGGCGGGAGGGAGTTGGGTTTGGGTTTTGGGTTTTCAACAGACACGTGCCGGGTTGGCCGCTATGTCAGGAGGAGTCATGGCCACTATGAGGTCATGTCAGAATAGCTGCTCCCATGTGCCTGTGTTTATGCTTTGTCTGACATCTCTTGGCTCACCTAATTTGATTTCTCACTGGCTTTGTTTCATGGTGTAATCAAAGTTTTGCCTGTAGGCATCGTATAGGAGAGTGGTGTGTGTGTGTGTGTGTGTGTGTGTGTGTGTGGTGTTTTATATATTTTTACTTTTCTTCACTATATTTCAATCTCTTCCTTTCATTCAGACCGAACATTTAGACAGTGGTTGTAATGTAGTTATTACTGTACTCGAATTTGCGTCTATTGTTTGCTGGTTTGAGCATCTTCTGCATTTTGAGTCTTTGGTCTCCAGCGTCTGCCTGCCTTCGGGTTATTGAAATCATTCCTAGATTGCCATTTTAAATATTCTCTTGTGTCTCTGCCATGTCCCTAATTTCCTCTGTTTTTCTGGGCATTACGATATCCACACGTAACATTATATAGTCTACTTAGAGATAACACTGGGCAACTTAACATTCTGAAACTTGAAAGGCACAGGTGTATTTCGTCCTCACATGTGCACCCTCAGTTTGCATTGTGCTGGTTGTGCTAGACAGAGATGAGCACAATGCTGCCAGCACAATACAACTTCTCCCAGGCAGCCTCTTCCATGCAAATGGTTCTGCAATCCATTTGAGACTAAGCAGTGGTTCAAACTTCAGCTCATTTCTCCAGACTTTTCTACATTGCTGTGAGTCTGGCACACACCTGGACAGCTCAGGGATGAACCTGAGATTCGGCTGTAGATTTAGGGGTCCTGCTACTCTAATTATCAGTGATGTGAACCCCTCCCGCACCACCCATACTTTAGCCACCTGGGTCCACTCGGTACTTAACCACATCCAACTGAGGTGACTCAGGGGAAAAGCTGAGAGAATACGAACAAACCCATTTCCAAGCATCACTCCTGGATAATCACTTCTCCAGGCGTGGGTTCTTCCCCCAAATACACCTGTCTTGGGTTCTTTGTTGACATTCTCAGATGGATATTTTGATATGAATCTAGTCCAAAGTTCTACTTCTGGACCTTAGTCTGTAATTCTACATGTACTCCTGCAACCATCTATCTGTTGATACAAGTACTCAGTTTCAACCAGCAACCTTTGATCAATTGACCACCATGGGGAAACAGGCCTGCCTGGAGGGCCCAAACAGTTAGGTGCTCAGATACTCACCAGAAGGTGCAGTTCAAACCCACCCAGAGGCACCGTGAAAGGGATGCCTAGCCATCTGCCCCTGGAAAGTCCTGGCCTAGAGGATCCAAGGCAGCACGGATCTGCTCTGCACACACAAGAACCTGCTCCTCACCAGCGAGCTCGTTTCCACTATAAAAGTCCTGCCCCGGGCGCTGCTGAGGAATATGAGGCTGTCCGTGACTCCAGGAGAGCACCGTCTAAAAGTTATCCCTGGGCCTGAGTGGCCGTGACATTGAAGGAAACTCCTGTAGGAGAGGTTAGTGCGTTGTGCTGGGTTTCTTTATCCGTGTAATGGGCCATGGTTGCTCTGATTCCTACCTAAGGGTAGTGGTTGGGGAGTGGGGCACTTTTCATAAGGCAGAAACATGAGACAAGGCAGAGAGTCATGAAAGTAGAATCCATGTGGCTCAGGACCTGCCTGTACTGGAGGAAAGGCATCTAGAGAGCGAATGACCAGGACCCAAAGGAGATGCCATTTCCCCTTTTTAGCACTGGTGGCTGGTACTGTGCTGTGAGAAATGGGAGCTAGAGGCACAGACCTTTTGAATAAAACTATAAATATATGTAATTCTTAGACAGTTTGGAAGTAAGAGGCATCAGCTTCCTGCAGGGTCAAGAAACTGCATTTAATTGACCTTGAACAACACATGTTTAAACTGCCTAAGGCCACTTATAGGCGAGTTGCTTTTCTTGTTGCTGCTGCAGGGAGCCCCAGTTTTGTGCATATGTTCTTAAAACAAATGAGCTGCTGCTGATTGAAGTGACGTGAACAGTTCATCTCCTCATTATCCACGAACCTCTCACTCTCCCGACCCCCCCCCCCATAGCTGGACACAGGACAGTAAGGATGTCTAATGTTGGAAATGGAAGAAGATTTTATTTCATAACGCACAGATTCTACGGTGTGATAGAATGAGATGTTTCTGGATTTCCAGGTTCATTCCAATGACATGCTTATGAAATCCAAGCTGCGACTTACTTTTTAAAATTATTTATTTGTTTTTAATTAAAAGATCATTTTATTGGGGGCTTTTGCAACTCTTATAACAATCCATACATCAATAGTATCAAGTATATTTGTACCTATGTTGCCATCATTCTTTTCTAGACATTTACTTTCTATTGAGCCCTTGGTATCAGCTCCCCACCCCCTGGCCCATTGTGAACCGTTGATAAATTATAAATGGAATAGCAATATCAGAAAGGTAGGGGAAGGTGAGGAGAGGAGGCGAAGAAGGGAGAACTGATGGCGATAATCAATTCATAACCACCACTACCACCCTTCCGGGGGGACGGACAACAGAAACCATGGGGGAAGGAGATAGTGGTTGGTGTAAAATATGAGAAATAATAACAATTTGCGACTTACTCTTGCTTCTTGTTACGTTGTTCAAACCTTCTTTAAAAAAGTTTTATTGGTAATTGGCATATGATTCACATCATATAATTTAATAATTCAATTCTATTAAGAAGAATTGTGCCATTTCAAACTGTCTAGTGGAGGAAAGAATAAAGGATGTGGTTTTTTGAGGGTTTTTTGTATGTATGTCTTCCTTATTTAATCTGGACCTGCCACAAAGCAGACAGAGCTCAAGGATTTTCCTTTTTCTTTCTCATCCTAGAACAAAGCAGAAGCACAATGCTAAATTGTCCTAGGTCTATCAATGGCTGCAGTAGATTTTGTCTGAAAGTGATTGATTACAGGAATATGAACGTATCCCATGAAGCCCTGCATATTTGTTTTAAAGGCACAATTAGTCCTTGAACAGATTTTTAACAAGAGAGTTTTTCACAAATCTGGCAGCCATCGTGGACGTGGACTGCTTAAAAGCAGTCACATGCATGTAAGGTGAACAATCACACCAGGAAGGTACAACTTCTCAGAACAATCACAGCAATGAGATCACAAAGGCAACCCTAAGCCCAGAAAGCAGGCAAGGGCAGGAAGGAAGGAAGAACGGTGACAGTTAACACAGGCAGGCGGTGGGAAAAGAGGGAACACACAGTGTGCATTACAATGGATGTCTCAAAACACATTGAGCGTGGACTGTCCAGTGCTCTGTCTACTTGTCCTCTACCCATGGGCAGCCATTCCATCTGTGCCCACACCCGATGTGTATCAGACTGTGAGTGGGTGCCAGTGTACTTGGATGACCCACTGCCATTGAGTCAATGTTGACTCTTCTCTCCACAGGGTTTCCAAGACGGCTGATCTTCAGGGATGCAGACAGCTTTTACATCTTCCTGAGAAGCCGTGATTGATTTCGAACTGCCCACCTTGTGGTTAGCAGCCTGATGTCCAATCCACTGTACCACCAGGGATTCTTGCATACCTATGTCACTGAGTGCGTATATATTCTCCTATTAAAGATTTCTATGAAGGCTTGGGAGGCTTCAAAAGCTCCTTGTGTCCAGATCTCTTATTAAAATGAATCTCAGAGTCTGCTAATCACAAGTTTGAAACTAATTAAATTTTTAATAAATAACCATAATATATTAAAAGTCAAATTATAAGAGTGTGATGTTATTGAATTAGGGCAAATATGAAGCACAGCAAGCCCTTTGATAAATTATGCATGAGCCTTTTAGAATTGCTTAACTCCGTTTGAACAATACAAGAAATTCCAGTGCAATGCCATTTACCTTCCTGTCCCAGGGCAGCCTGGGGAGAAGAGAAACACGCTTTCTCTGGGTGCCAGCTCATTTTGATATCAGAGCCTTCTTAATTTTGTTTGGAAACAATATTTGTTTATTTATTTATTCCCTGCTCATTACTGCATGCTTTGGGAAGAAAATCGACTTTACCAGCAATGAAAGGGAAATCTGTTTTGGGAAAGAAAGTTGTTTTAATATTATTATTCTCAACAGACCTTAACTATCTCCCAAGATTCCCTCTGCTTCTCTGTTTTCCATCCATCTTATATATAAAACCATCTATCCTAAGGATCCCCAGTGCAAGCATACTTAGCTGCTGGTGATAGAATTAGAAGAAATAGGAATTTATTTTTCTTTCTTACACTGTCCTCTTTCTTTGCCCTCTCCCTCGCAAAGAAGATGTGGCTACTTAACATGAGAAATGGAAACACCATGCAGTGGGCATTTTCATAGGCATGTTGGGTCATGCAATGGCTCTTTTCTGAGCGTGGAGCCAAGTGTGGGCATGATGAGACACAGACAGATGATTCCCAAAGAAAGTTCGCCATTATGAGGGGTGTGTACGTTGGGGTCGTTCAAGGCTGCAGAGGAGAATCAGAATGGGATGGAGTGCTTGGGAAGCAGAGCAGGCGGCGGGCACTGGGCAGCGTCTTCAGCACACCCACTCAAAAGCAGAAGCCCAGACATGCTGAATAAACAGTTTCCTCCTAAAAATGATATTTTGCATTTCTTCAACTTGGCTAGGTGGTTAAGATGCGAGCATCCACCCAATTTTTCAGTTCGTCTGCCTTCCAATATGTGCATTCATGCGCCGATGAATCGCAATTATGCCCGTTCACGTTCAGAGCCGGGATGTGTGTTAGTTCCGTGTTCTAATTTATCAGGTGTTAGCACGCCTCTGTCAGCAACACTACTGCGCTTCCCTGACACTGGTCTTTAGAAGTTCACTCTCTGGTAAAGTAGCCAAGTTGTAAAGGCACCCTGCAGATTCCGACCATGATAAGCAGTTCACATGAGTTTCATCTTAATAGGGGGTAGTCAGCCTGAGTTGGTACTGAGACCAGAGAAAGGGGAGCCTTGAATTGCACAGATTTGGGTATTTAACTGTCTCCACAGCATTGTGAGAGTCCAAAAAAAAATGCAAATTATGTTCTAATTCACTCCAGTGTCCGTTGCACCTGACATTGTACATAGAGATGTAGTCTTTATATTGAAGACCGTGCTGCACCTAACCCAAGTCACGGTCTTGAACTCTCTTTTTCTTGGTTACTCCAGGGCAGCACCCAGGGACAATGTTTCATTAAGAGTTTGTCTGTTTGTTTAATTTAAAATGTCTCCACGAATACATATTATAATTATGCATTATCATTATGCATGATAACAGTGAGGAGGGGGGTGGCACGGGACCGTGGTGTTTTGGTCTGCTGCACAGGGTGACTACGAGTTAGGGGCTGACAAAGCAGCAAACAACAGCAAAGGGGCACAAACAAGAAAGCATGGTGGTGGCATGAGTTGAGAGCTGGGCAGATAGCTGCAAAGTCAGTGGTTCAAGCCCACCAGGAGCTCTGAGGGAGAAATATATGCCAGTTTGTTTCTGTAAATATTGCAGTCTTGGAAAACGGATAGAGAAATCAATTCTTCTCTGCCTTCCAAGGTGGTTAGGATTCAGAATGGACCCGAGAGAGGTGTGGGCAGTGGAGTTTGGGCTTGACCAGTCTTCTAGAACATGCCTGCAAAGGTCATCATTTCTTTTGGCTCTTAATCACTCAGAGACTTTTTCTCAGTTGCACTAAGAGCCATTGTTGCCTTCCTAAATGTATGGCACAAACCCCCCTCGTGATGTTTAGCAAGCCAGAAATCCACCCCCTTTCCCAAAAGAAAATAACAGGAACAAAAAGGGCAACATTTTAGAGAAAATAACTAAACTCATTTCCCCTGTGTTTCTTTTTTTTCTTTCTCATATTCCCATTTACTTATTTTTAAAGGTTATCACCTGTTTCTTTCTGGCTAAAAATAAATTAATGAAAAATCTTGTCCAGAGGCTTTTCTTTGAAAACTCTAAAACTGCCTGATGATGCCTGGAATCCGGGGGAGGGAGGGCTGGAGCTGACAGCACCTGGAGAAAAGGCAGGCTTGGGGCAGGCCAGGAGAGAGAGGACATCATGTCCATCCTGGTAGGACAGTCACGGTCTTATCACAAACCTAGCAGCTGCTCTGATTCACACTGATGTGACAGTCATGCCTTGATGCAAATTACTGGTTTTGTTTTTCATTTAGTTATCTATATGTGAGTGCAATCATATAATGTTCCATTCTAACCATTTGTTATGTTTTCAATTCAGTGGTATTAATGCAGTCTTTGGAAGCCACTGGGTAATGAAACCTTAATACAGTCAACTGCTAGCCACAAGGTTGGAGGCTCAAATCCAATCAAAGACAACTGGGCGGAAAGGCCTGAAAACCTGGTGTTGAAAAGGGCAGCCATGGAAAAGCCTGTGCCACACAGCTGTACTCGGACACACACGGGGTCACCACGAGCCAGCGCTGACTTAACATCAATACTCTACTTAGGTGTGTGACTTATTTCGTCACCTTCTGCAACCATCACCAGTATCCATTTGCTGATATTTTTGATCCCCACTCATTGAAACTCAGTATCCCTTAAACAAAAATGCCTCATGCCAACCCCTCTATCATTGCCACCCACGGTCTCTGGTGGCTGCTTACCTAACGTAGCTCTTTCTTCATTGTCCTACATATTACAGAGATGGGGGGCACTCACAATACTTGTCATTTTCTATCTATGTAACCATTTTCTCCAATGTAGAGTTATACCATTGTTTGTGTTTTCTTTAGTATTTTTATTGCTGTGGTAACAGTTGAGATCTAAGGAAACACATTCATACAAGCAAGCTTTAACAATTCGATAGAAAACTTTCCATTATCTTTCTGTCTTTCCACAAAATTTTTGAAGCCTGCCTGATGGCATAGTGGTTACAACTTGGGCTGTGATCTCCAGCGTAAGCAGTTCAAAACCACCAGCTGCTCATTGGGAGAAAGGCAGGGCTTTCTGCTCCCATGAGCAGTGACCGTCTCAAAACACACAGGGCAGTTCCATCCTGCCCTGTAGGGTCACTGCGACTTGGAATCCACTTGAAGGCCGTGAGCTTCGTTTTGTTGGTTTAAGGATTTACTGCATATTAATTAGTACATCTGTATTAGTTCTCCTTCAATAAACATTGTATTCTATATGGGAAACAACTATTAAAACTCTCAATCACGTGTTTCCCATTCACAAGGTCTACTTTAACATACATGAAAATATCTGTATGTTATATCATCTCTATATTCATCTGGGCATACTGGGCTCACTCAGTGTATTGACCCATGTCCCATCTCAGTACCTCCCAGTCCTAACGCTCTTGGGAATGTCACACCCTCCTGATGTAGGTATTGTCAGAAAAGATACCTAGGGATGATTCCGTCTTTTGCTTTGCTGAAAGCACTCAGCATGGAATTCAAGTGTCATAGATGGTTGTTGTTGTACTGTGCTGCGCTTTGTTTTATTTGTTTTCTTTTCGGTCAAATGAAAGCTTAGCCCACTCCAATGCAGGAAAATCCCACATCGATCCAAGGAGAACTCCAAACTCAATGCTGACCCATAGTGACCCTGTAGGACAGAGTAGGAGCATCTCTGTGGGTTTCTGAGTGTGTAACTCTTCATGGGAGCTGGTGGTTTCCAATTGCTGACCTCCGGTTAACAGTCCAATGCGTGATCCACCACAGCCCAAGGAGCTGGCTACAAGCACCTTTGGGCTTCTCATATGTTCCAGTTGAGTGCTGGAGTCTATGTGACTCCTTGAAGCTTGATTTTAGGGGCCACGCTTTATTAGGTCTGCATTCCCTCCAGGAGTTAAATGGCCATGCTATACAACCAATCTTTCTCCATGAAAACTTCCCCAATCTGAAGCAATAGCATGATGTTTGCCATCACTCTCTTCTTGCCCTTGAATGACAAA